AGGCCTTAAACCAACAAGGTCAAATGCTTAAGTAGCATTCCATCAGAGTTACACATTACGTCACCCAAAAACCGTTCTTACACTAAGGTAAAGGTAAGGACCTAATATCTAAGCTCTGATACCATTAAAAGTTGTCATGCCTCGATCCCAACATACTTCCACATGTGACGACACCAATACCTGTATCTCTAACATACCCCGCCTCCAGAATATGTACAAAGCACAACTCGATAATCGAATCGCATGGTAGTTTTTCTTATACTTTATGGCTGCATCTAACCTCCTCGTTAGACTGCCTACGTACCCTCATTAGGGATCAAGTCATTCCTAGTTCATCATTTCACTACACTCGAATATTCATCAATTAAATAGCTATGTATCAACAATAAATCACAATGCATAACATGCAACATTACAAGGGACAAACGACGAAGCACAATCATATTCACTAGTCATAAAGTTCAACGAGTCTAATCATAATTACCATAACCAACATCATTCCATAATCACATCCATCAATAATGTCAATCCTCACATCATCAACAACACATACAACACGTCAAAATGTGGGCTAGAGCGCCACAGCTCGGCCAAAGACTACATCTTTGAAAAAGGGAATTTTGGACCACCCAACGGAATCAAGGCACCAAAGGGAATTCCAGACCATCACTCAACGGAATCCAATCAGGATACGATTCTGGACCATCACTCAACGGAATCGCGAAGTAGAAGGGATTCCGGACCATTACTCAACGGAACCCAATCAGGATACGATTCCGGACCATCACTCAACGGAATTGCGAAGTAGAAGGGATTCCAGACCATCATCAATCATCAAGGAATTGCGATATTCCAGACCATCACTCAACGGAACCCAATCAAGATACGATTCCGGACCATCACTCAACGGAATCCAATCAGAACTCAGTTCCGAACTACTTAACAGAACTGAATGGAAGTCCAGGAAGCATAACATCGGCTCGAAAGAATAAAACATGATTCAAGTTACTCAATTCACAAAGACTCAACGAAACGAAATAATATCAAGCAACAAATCCCCATCACAATGGGTTATTGGTGCATTACTAGACCTCACATCTCCCAAGCAATTCAATATGCATCTCAATCACATATCACAACCATTTCCAATGCACAAGTCAAATCACATTTCACTACATCATACCAATCACTATGCTTCCAACATTATATCTCAATCCATAGCTTGTAACATATCAAGGAATCACGAAGTACAATATTAATATTTAATCACGTTAATCAATCAGTGAGATAGCATATCATTTCATGAATTTAATTAAAGAACTCTACATAATTCCCTACTTGGGTTATGGATAATAACATGGTAATTCTAATTTGTATTCACAAGATCCATTGTGGGTAATTCCCATTAACTCGAATCTAGGATTCTAAGATAACCTTATGGAAATGAGCAATAGCAAGGATTCTGGACTATGTAACGGAATCAAAATATTAAACGGTTTCTCATAATTTACCCAAACCTGTCGCATGTGAAATAAGTGCCTTCATCATGGAAATGGTGCATCGAGCAACCAACAACCCGGATAAGTTGCAAAGCTCGTGTGAGCGACAATAATACAAAGTATGTAATAATAATGATGAAACCAACCATCAATCACAGTTTATAAACTTTGAATACAAATCATTCATAAGAACTTAATACCAAACCTTTGCAAACTCCGAATGAATCACATAGACATCCAACGACTTTTCTAAATCAAACTCAAAGTTCTCGAAGCCAAAATTCACGAATACTCTCAAAATAGAGCTAGAGAGGCGTCGTTCGGCTGAAGCCTACGCAAGTAACCAAATAGGAAGTGGCCCCCCCTAAGCGGATTAACCAAGCAGAGCCACCCCTAAGAAAGTAACAAAGTAGGTAGTAACCCCCCAATGCAGATTAACTAAGCAGAGTCACTCCTACAACTGTTAGGAAGTGATCTCCCAATGCGGATTAACCAAGCATGATCACTCCTAAGCATACATGGCCATAAGGATCGCCCAACGTGGATTAATCAAGCGCGATCCATATATAGTATGGTCCTCCAAAACGGATTAACCAAGCAAAACCATTAGTGACCCCCCCCCAATGCGGATTAACCAAGCAGAGTCAAGATAACCAAGTAGGTAGTGACCCCCCAATGCGGATTAACCAAGCAGGGTCATTGATGTACCAATGCTATATGGTGCTATCAAACCAACACACAACTTACCTCCTACCTCCACACTTATGATTTACAACATGAGCACATACAACATCCATTTCTATATTTCCCATCTAGGTTTCAAAGCATTGTTTCGAATTATTACTACAAGCATCCATCACCTCGATCAACTCCTATTCTCAAGTATATGCAATTACTAAATGCATCACTTCCGACTCTAGTCTTAATTAGATTACTTGGAACTACAAATTCACACTATGAGATCCAAGTACTTCTTTGGTTAACTTGAATTAACATGATCAAAATAAATGTAACATTTGAATGAAAACACTTGGAGAAAATAAATGAAGATGCTACTTACAAATATAGATGTACCTGTATATAAAAGCCTTGGCAGTTGGTGCATATATATATCTAGGGATATAAGTAAGTTCCCTTGAATATGCATACATAGATATATGTATACGGTAAATAAGGAAACAAATTCATCCCTTCATTAATTTATACATACATATAAGGATTCGTTCAACTTCAGACATAAGCAGAAAGGTCTGATAATGCTAAACCAATGAGATGGAATCAATATGCTTATCAACAATGGCTATTCACTGTCACCACAAAGATAAAATCTGGACCACGTCTGACTAAATGTATACTAACAACTCTAGCAAAATTGTACCAAATATGAAGAGAAACAATTTCACATTATGGGACAATATAATTGTCGATTCCTCATCATCAACATTACATTAATGCATTCTTTAAAGCAACAAATGCAACATGATAAAAGATTAATTTTCAAATAAGACTATACATACATAATGTTAACCATCAGCATTTCATAAATCGGATGTCACACACCGAGAAATTCGACTTTTTCCAAAAATTCTCAAATTTTACAGGAATAAAGATCTCAACAAGTAGAGTAAACTTTATACTTGTGGCCAAGTCCAATTTGGCTGGGAAAGCCCTCAGATTGGCTCGCACCCGTCGAAAACCCTAAGGTGGGTGTTTTTCAATTCGGCTTCCTTGGTGTTCCAACGCCCCTACAACTGATAGGTTCTTGTTCTTGGGTCCAAGAGAAGTTGATCAAGGGTGATGGTGAATGGTGATACTCACCGGAACGACGAATTGCCGTCGAGAACCCCTGGGAGTTCTACCCGAATTTGGCCTTAAAAACCCTTTAATTTGAGCAAATAAGGTAGATGAGAGGTTGTTGAATAAGTTGCAGGTGGTGAATGGGTGCAAAAGGCCTGAAAAGTGCAAGGATTTTGGCCTGAAATTGGCCAAGTCGAAACCCCCTTTTTTTTTTTCTTTTGGGTGCACGGGTTGACAGAAAATTGTGGGGGGGGTCCCTTTTTCTTTCTTCACTCACCACACCCGTGGCTTTCTTTCTTTTTTTTTTAAATTTATTTATTTATTTATTTTTTTTAAAGCAACACAACTTCAAACGTTTGTAACTATATCGTTATAATTCGGACTCGCAAACAGTTTTCGCATATGTGTTCGTGGGTTCGAGATCTATTTAAAAACACTAGTTAAAACTTTGAAAAGTCAACGGAAGATAAAAATTGGTTTCGAAAATTCAAACTAGATAACTATTCGATTTATTTCCCAAAATTTATAGCATTAAAATTAAGTAATAAAAATAACGTAAACGTGAAATATGAACTTAAATTACAAGATACATAATGAATAGTGAAATTCCGGGGATGGGATTTCACATGTAGATAATACCACATGACATGCTATCATTAGTTAAAAATCTGATCGAAATCTATCCTCAAAGATTGTAAACAGATTGTGACATGTGGCGTGACGTGATAGGTTAAGTTTTTTATTGGAAATCTATCCTTAACGAGAAAAGGTAACGACACGTGACACGACGACATTGGATAAAAATCTTATCAAAATCCATCACCAATAATTGTCTTTTCAAATAATGATATGTGGCGCAACGAGAATGATTAAAAATCTTATCCGAAATTACAAATTAAATTATTTTATATTATTTTATAAATAAATAAAATACTAATATTTTATTGCCTATTGCCAGGGCTATTCAATGTACGTGTGGAGATGCAAAGACTGTTACTGTTCATTAATGACAGTTACTGTTTATTGGGTGGATTAAATAGTGAATAACCTAGGGACCTTTCCCACGGTGGAACTGCTCTAAGGGCATCTGAGTGAGAAAAAGATAGTATTTCCTCTAAAGAGTGTCGTGTGTCTTAAATTAACGAAAATTTTGATATAATTGCTTCAAATATAAAAGCAGAGATGAAATTAGTGTTTTAAAGTGTATTGAGGACTAAATCTTCCGGATGAAATGTTTTCGACGACGTTTACGTATAATCAAGCTCTAGTTGAACAATCTTCGGATTCGAAAATCATCTAAACTTAGCTGATTAGTTTTTCTAAACAGAACAAAGGAAAGATGATGATAGCAAAAAATTCAGTCCAAGAATCAGGGTCTTATGCTACTAAATTATTAGTCACGATGGCATCATGTCCAAATTCATTTATGCAATAACGAAGAAGGGAAGCAACAACCAGAGCTTGAAAACTAGTTCAGCTATGTACGTACACTGTCATGCAGAGTTGCCGTTGGGCACGCTCTGAATATGCAAAGGCTTCTTATATGACTGCAACGAGAGAAGAACATATCACGCTTAGAGATGAAGCAGCCATACATGCACCTGCAAGCCACGGTGGTAATTGAATTCCAGTGAAAGGGAACAAAACTCCAGTAACCACTGGCATGCCGAGGATATTGTAGCCCAGGGCCCATACATAATTCAATCAAAATGGAGACATGGTCTTTCTAGAGAGATCAATGGCTATAACCACATCTTCCAAGTTGCTCTTCATCAAAACTATATCCGCAGCTTCTATAGCTACGTCGGTGACAGCACCAATTGCCATGCCAACATCTTCTGCAACTAAAGGCGGGGAGTCATTGATTCCATCTCCCACCATCGCCACCGCCATTCCTTTCATCTGCATCCAAATCCAGTTTTAATAAGTCTGAAAACGCTATGTTTGACAGATTGCACTCACATATCAAGTCGGAAACAAACTTGATATACAAAAATGAGCGTGAAGATTTCTATAAGACATTAGTTTACACTAGACAAGTCATTTGAAATATAATTTAGCAATCCTTAATCTGCGTTCAAAACCAGAATAAAATTACATGTAGAGCTGGTTAATTGTAATTCATTCGCACCACCCCTGTAACTATTGTATAATCGTGCCTGTAATTCTTTGATTCTATCAGCTTTTCCTAGTGGATCCATCTCAGCAGACACCTTATCAATGCCAACCTCCTTCGCAATGGCTGCTTCTGCAGCCCAGTTATCAGCAGTAACCATGATGCTTGTAACGTTCACCAATTGAAGATAAGAGATGACTCTTGCAGCCTCTGGCTTCACTGGACCAGTTACAGCAAATGACCCAGCAATCTTTCCATCAATGGCAACCAACACACATGTTCGAACCAGATTCTCATGTTCTGAAACTTCCTTGTCAACCTCAAGACCAACCTGGACATTGTTTTCCCGCATGAGCCTCTTGTTCCCAGCCAAAACCATTTTGTCGCCAACTTTTCCACTAACTCCAGCTCCTGTGTGCACCTCAAATTCCTTAGCTTCCGTCACATGTTTAGTTGATCCAAACATCTTTAGCAGCCTCTTAGCATGCTTCACCACCGATTTTGCAATTGGGTGTTAACTATTTGCCTACATATTTCTCAAATAGAAGCATGGTAGTATGATTGACAAAATAATTTTCGATAGCATAATAACAATGAGTGGTCTCATCTGTAGCATAACTCTACAAACCCTCAAACTTTTTTAATACGCAAATTAAACTTTTCATGTACACATTTGAAACATAAGCACCAACCTCTGTGGCCACAGCACAGAACTCCTCCATTGAGTAATTGGAGAAGATGCACATCATCAACTACTACAAGTTCCCCAACTCTCAGAATACCTGTTTTATCAAAAGCAACCGTTTTCACCTGCAGGGATCAAACACGTCCGTAAACGTCCAGACACCAACAAAGTGTCAAATGCTAAGAAACATATCAACCTTCATGACTTAGGTAACGTTTGTTCAGCTTTTAATTTTGGAAAGAACAAAAACCCCAAAAAGGACGAAACAATTATTAGCCTTGTTATAAAAAAAGGAGTTGGGGTAAAGAGAACTCTCCTTCAGTTTGAGCTGTCATCTACAAGAAATGGGGATTTGAAACTTGGCGAGTTCGGCTTGGTGACATGGACAGGGTGCATACTGTAAGACTAAAGAACATAATCACCAAGACCAAAACATGAACTACAACTTAGAGAGAAATATTCAGTTTATGTATATGAGAAAATCAGCAAGAAGAACATACCAGCACCGGTTGCAGAACCCGAAGCCATAGCAGCAAGCTTTCAGTGTGCCTTCTCTTCTCTCGCAGATTATCAAGAGCTCGACTTACGAATATGATTAAGTCCAAAATCTGAGCGTGATCTGTGAGAAGAGAGGCCACCATATATATACAAATAATCTTTACCATAACTGATTAGGATTCCCTATCAAAATCCATATAGGAAACAAATGCTTGTTTCCTTGTTCTGATCTCAATGCTGTACAAAATCCCTCTTTAAAAAGGATTAGCATTCCTTTTATTAACAAGACTTTTCTATCTAATTGAACACCTATAGCCGGTCCTAAAACTTATCTATCTCATACTCATATTCTTACACTCTCCCACTTGAGTATGAGAACAGTTTCAAGTACTCAGCCTATTCAACCAACCATTTTCAGATAGAAGTGATCACTAAGCCTAGTAACAAAAGTTTTTTCAATCACAACCAACTATCATACATCTCAAAATGCAGAACGCTTGTAACTGTATTACCACAATAAAGCAAACAGTTTTTACAAGAGTTACATACATTCAATTTGTATTCTCAACGTTGAGAACTTGAGCAATATCAGCAAATAAGCAAAATGCTCCCACTATTTCACACCATTGTCAGCAAGATTTAAAATAAATCTTCGCTTCAAAACAATGCATGAATCAACAACTCATCAACAAATGCTTTAAACAGACTAACCATTATAAAAGCAACAGATGAATTATATCAAACTTTATTTCTCGAAACAATAGACCATCATTACTGATCTTAATACGATAAAATAAACAAAACAAAACTAACAAACCTAATACCATCAACATTCAACCATAAGCTTTTAAAATTTAAACTTGAAACCTGTTTATATCACTGCACCAGCTCTCTGAACTTCACAACAGCAAACAAACAGCCATATTGTAACAGATCACTCCCACTGATCAAATGATTCAAGTATTCCCATCTGAGAGACATGAGCTTTAAACACTCCAATCGGCAATGCCTTAGTCAAAGGATCCGCAATCATTGCATTAGTGCTCAAGTGCTCCACCTGAATTGCTCCTTCTCTAACCTTTTCTCGGACCTTAAGAAACTTTACATCCATCAGTCTTGAAGCTGAAGTTCTCTTATTGTTCTTGCTGAAAAATACTGCAGAATTGTTATCACAGCATATTGTAATAGGCCTTTGCACAGAATGGACAACTTTCAAATCTGTCACAAAGTTTTTCAACCATACAGCTTGTTTCATTCCTTCAAAGCAAGCTATAAATTCTGCCTCCATTGTCGATGTAGCTATGACAGTCTGTTTTGCACTTTTTCAAGAGACTGCACCACCATTAAGCATAAAGATATAACTTCCAGTGGATTTTCTATCATCTACATCGCCGGCTAAATCAGAATCAGTGTAGCCAACTAACTCCAAAAGCTCATTTTTGCCATAAACCAACATATAGTTCTTGGTTCTTTGCAGGTACCTCAAAAATCTTCTTTGCTGCTACCCAATGTGTTTCTCCTGGATTTGCTTGAAACCTACCCAACATTCCAACTATAAAAGCAATGTCCGGTCTTGTGCAAATAGTTGTATACATCAAACTTCCCACCAATGAAGCATAAGGCTTATTTTTCATTTTATCTAGCTCCATAGGTGTTTTAGGACACTGAGCCTTTGAGAATCTGTCTCCCTTGTTTACTGGCACTTCACCATTATTGCAGCTTGACATATTGAACCTCATTAGTACCCTTTCTATATATCCCTTTTGTGATAAACCAAGTAAACTTCTTATTCTATCTCGAATAATTTCAATACCAAGTACATAGTGTGCTTCCCCAAGGTCCTTCATTTCAAAATTCTTACTGAGCATGATCTTGGTGTCTTTGAGCAGTTTCATATTAGAACTTGCAAGGAGGATGTCATCGACATACAACACTAAAAATATAAAACTTGTGCCTAAAAACTTAACATAGATGCAATCATCTAATTTGTTTTCCACAAAACCTTGTCCTGTAACTACCTGATCAAACTTTAAGAACCATTGTCTTGATGCTTGTTTAAGCCCGTAGATTGACTTGTTAAGTTTACAAACCATGTCTTCTTTCCCCTTTTCAACAAATCCAGGAGGCTGCTTCATATAAATGTCTTCTACCAGTTCACCATTAAGAAAAGCAGTTTTTACATCCATTTGATGCAGTTCCAGATTGTAATAAGCAACAAGTGCTCATAGAATCCTTGGAAGAAACGGGAGAAAAAGTGTCATTGTAATCCACCATTTCCCTCTGAGTAAATCCCTTGGCAACTAACCTAGCCTTGTACCTTTCAATATTGCCTTGAGCATTTCTCTTAATCTTATAAACCCATTTACACCCAATAGTCTTGAATTAAGGATTGGAATCCACTAATGTCCGTACTTTGTTTTTTGACATCGACTCCAATTCCTCCTTCATTGCACTGTGCCATAATGTTTTTTGAGAACTATTCATGGCCTGAGAATAAGTAAGAGGATCATCCACATCACCAAAATCAAACTCATTTTCCTGCAAGTAAACATAGTCATTTGACATTGTGGTTTTTCTAATCCTTGAAGATTGTCTCAATGGTAATATTGGATCATGGAGAACTTCAGTGCTCGGATTCATGTGTACTTTAGTAGTTGGAGTTTGATCCCCTTGCATCTGTGTTTGGGACCCAAGATCAATTTCCATTCTATCTATATTTTGTGGAAGTTCCAATTGTTCTTCCTCCGATTCAATCATGGATGCAGGAGTTATCAACATTTCCTTGTAAGAATTACTGCAAGAAGAATTCTCATTTTGATCAAGCTCTTAAAAAATGAATCTGCCTTGTGACAATTCTGCAACATCTTGATCTTCAAAGAACCTAGCATTGTGAGTTTCTTGAATCCTGGTGTGAGCTTGAGGACAATAAAACTTGAAGCCTTTAGATTTCTCTGAATATCCAATGAAGTAGCATGATTCAGTCCTAGAGTCCAATTTCTTCTCATTTGGATTGTAAATTCAAACCTCAGCTTTACATCCCCAAACATGGAAATGATTAAAACTAGGTTTCCTGCCATTCCAGATTTCAAAAGGTGTTGATGAAACCGCTTTGCTTGGAACTCTATTCAGTATATAAGTTGCTGTCTTTAATGCTTCACCCCATAGGAATCCTAGTAACTTTGATCTTGTCATCATGCTTCTTACCATTCCAATCAGAGTTCTATTCATCCTTTCTGAAACTCTGTTTTGTTGTGGTGTTCTAGGTGTAGTGTATTGGGCCACAATCCCTTGTTGTTCAAGATAGAAAGCAAACAGACCCTTGTGTTGTCCAGCCTCACTGTACCTGCCAAAGTACTCTCCTCCTTTATCCGATCTAACAATCTTAATGTTCTTGCCTAACTGTTTTTCTACCTCAATTTTATAAACTTTGAAATAATCAAGGATAAATGATTTCTCACTAATTAAATAAGTGTAACAAAACCTTGAGAAATCATCAATAAAGTTCACAAAGTAAGAATTACCACAAATGGTTTTGGTTGGAAAAGGACCGCAAATATTAGTGTGTATAATCTCTAGCAAATCATGACTCCTTTTGGCATCTAGCATCCTGGAATTTGTCATTTTTCCTTTTGCACAATCAACACACTCAATTGCAGTAGCAAAATTTAATTCAGGGATCAACTTAGCTTTGGATAGTTTTAGAACTCTTTCTTTGGATATGTGGCCTAACCTTTTGTGCCAAAGAATGAATGAATCATCACTGCTGTGCATTCTCTTAGTGCTTGTGTTTAAAACATATTGATTGATGGACTCCAAGGTACAATTCAAACACCACAGATTGTCACTTAAATATGCAGTTCCCAAAACACAATCTAGGTGGTTCTTTTCAAAAAATTTTAAACTTTCATCATCACCTAGAAAGGCAAAACCATCTTTGACAATCCTGGAAGCAGAGATCAGATTTCTCCTTATTTTAGGCACATAAAGCACATCCTTTAGTTTTAGTATAAAACCGGAAGACAATTTTAAACACACCATTCCAATAGCTTCTACCGCAACCTTAGTACCTTATCCCACAAAGACATTATAATTCTTAAAACCAGTTTGTTTTGATTTCACAAAACCCTCCAAAGAATTTGAGATGTGAACTGAGCAACCGGTATCAAACCACCAAGAATTCGCAGGAATTTCAATCAAATTAGACTCAACACAGACATTGACATGTTCTACACCTTACTTTTAAGATAGTCCTTAAAAACTTGACAATCTTTCCTTTGTCCTTTAGTTTTGCAGAAAAAACATCTAAGTTTGGCAATATTTTTAGGTTTGACCATAAGATTGCTAGATCCCTTAATAGAGTCCTTTACTTTAGCAGATGCATTAGACTTAAAAGAGGTTACCTTGGTATTAGAATTCTTACCACAGTATCCAGAGAATGATTTGAATGACTTCTTCCCCTTGTTTGGTTGCACAAAATTCACCATTTCAGTATCTTTCCCTCTTTCTTGCTTCTGTCTAGCCTCTTCTTGAACGCACTGTGCTATTAGCTCATCAACATCCCAGTTCTTGTCTTGAGTGTTGTAAGACACTTTTAACTGACTATATTTGTTTGGAAGGGCTTGAAGGATCATGAAAACTAGCTGTTTCTCACCAATATTAACATCTAGAGAATTTAATTTCTCAGCTGCATCAGTCATTTTCAAGATGTGATCTCTGATTGACCCCATGCCTTCAATCTTGTATGTGGTAAGCATTGCCATATATTGACTGATTTCTGCCTTCTGAGATTCTTTGAACTTCCTTTCAATTGCTTGTAAATAATCAATAGCTAGATCATGCTTCTTAATCCCACCCCGAACAGTATTGGTCATGGCACTTTCAAGTATAGTAAGTGCCACTTTGTTTGCTCTGACCCATCTCTCTGCATCAGCTTTCTCAGCCCTAGTACTTTGATCAGTCAAAATCAGCTTAGGAGTTTCAAGGGCTATGTCAAATTCATTGAGTGTCAATAGGAGCCCAATCTCACGTCTCCACTTCTTGTAGTTGCTTCCCCCTGTGAGAACATGAATGTTTGCCAAGTTCATAGTCCTGAATGATATTGCAGATGTTGAACCTGACATGAAATCACAAATATGAACTTATT